TAATAATTTTTATTTACAACTTTGAAAAACAGATTTTACACCTGGGGGAAGGTGTCCATGATGATTTTTCTCGGTTTCTCAAAGGTAAAGTGCTATGTTATAGTGTATAGAAGAAGTAAACACTATCCAAATATATTTTCACTGATCCATTTTTGAGTGTTTTTTTCAGTAATTAAATAAAAGATTTTTTGTGGAATTTGTGGCCTTCAACTTGGCCTTCAAAAGATTATTTTAAATTTAACAGGTAAAAATAATCAGGTCATGGTTAATGTTCTGACATGAGACCCTCAGGGAGCCCTTGACCCTGAATTGAGGAATGGAACGCTCTGTGTACTAAATGATGAATTATTGCAAAGCTCTTGATCTTGTTTCAAGATAATTGATTCAGACATGGATTGATATGAATAATCCCTTGCAGTCATGTGATCCAAAACAGTCCTTGTACTGAATCCCAAGCCAGTAGAGCACCTTTGCTGAAGGGTTTAGGTTAGTTTTACACTTTGGTACAAACTGAAATTTTTAACGAGTTTTTTTGCTACTTTTTTTTAAAGGGGATACACGTTTGTCTCGTAAATCAGACATTTTTGGTGTTGTATCATCGGTTTGTGGAGCTTAAAGGTTTATTGGGATGTCTGGATCAGGGAGAATGTCAGGACAGTGAAGCTGCCAGATGTGATAATGGACATTTTTTGTTGAGAAGCAGAGCTTGTGTTCTTTATTGTCATCATTCGCAATGGGTCAGCGACTCAGTGAGGATTCGGACGATAAAGAGATTGATGCTGCTGAACTGCAGGAGTGGTATAAAAAGTTTGTGGTTGAATGTCCGAGCGGAACCCTCTTCATGCATGAGTTCAAGAGCTTCTTTGGTGTAACTGGAAACCCAGAAGCGGCCGATTATATAGAAAACATGTTTCGTGCTTTTGATAAAAATGGGGTAAGTTATTCAATTTACACTGTGTGAGAAGTGAGTGTATTAAATACTTAACACCAATATAATGTAATATAATATACACTGGGAAAGAGATTGCATATTTAAAAAATGAACCTGAAAATGATCAGTATTTTTGACAGTTCAATCCTCTTTCCTCTTTACCTTCCTTTCAAATTTTTTTTTTCATAGGACAACACTATTGATTTTCTGGAATACGTTGCAGCCTTGAATCTAGTGCTGCGAGGAAAGTTGGAGCACAAACTGAAATGGACTTTTAAAATGTATGACAAAGATGGGAGCGGCTGCATCGACAAAACAGAGCTCAAGGAGATTGTGGAGGTAATCATTCATTTCTCATGTCCTTCCCATTGTCAACACAGTCAGACCGATTTATACATCGACTGGGATTATAATACTTCAGTGGTTTACTAGATTACTAAAGAAAAAAAAAGATGAAAAACATAATTCTGTGTACTCTGGTACTGAGATTACAATTTCATTACTTGTTTCGTAACTTTCACCTTGACATTGAAACTTACTAGTGAGATGTTTACAGGGGATTAATCCATATGACCTCTCTGACAGCAGGACATTTGTGTGCAGAGATGCCGTCATACTTTGTAATACCACTATAAAGAAGACGTTAAGAAAGAAATGAACACCTTTACTTTACTTTTACAGTCAATCTACCGACTAAAGAAAGCCTGCCATGGTGAACTTGATGAAGAGTGTAACCTACTGACCCCAGATCAGGTGGTGGACCGAATATTTGAGCTAGTGGATGAGAATGGAGATGGTAAAACTTACTATGATTCATTATTTTTCTACAATTATTAAATGGTTAAGCCAAACTTTAGTCTTTGCCTTTATTATAATAAATATAGCCTGCATTTATTTAAGTTCACTGATGTTAATAATTAATCAAACTGTGGAAAAATTCTAGCTTTCTGCTCAAAGGCTTTCTTGAAAAAGCAGCTGATGCTGGGTTTCTTTGCTGTGTCCTCAGGGGAGTTGTCTCTGGATGAGTTCATTGACGGGGCACGACGTGACAAGTGGGTCATGAAGATGCTGCAAATGGACGTGAACCCCGGGGACTGGATCAATGAACAGAGACGCCGCAGCGACAACTTCTGAACTCCATATTCACCAAAACAACCCTTAACATAAGCCTACCCCTTAACCAACCAATACAGAGCATGCATAGTTTCTCAAGTACAGTCTTAAGGGCTTTTCACACTGAACGCGAAAATTCGGCGCGATGAGGCTTTTGAATGGAAACAATAGATCCCTATGGGGCTATTCACACCAGGCGCGATTATTCGGGGGTTTTTTCGTCTTGTGTGCCGATTTTTTCCCCGTCGCTCCGCGATGAAACGGGCTGTCCAATCAGATTTGAGCTTAGATCACGTGCGTGGAGCAGCTGCTGTTGCACAAAAAGGCAAAGAGTGGTGGCACTGTTTGGAAAGCCAGTGTAAACAAACACCGAAGAAGAGTTTTCCATTCTGAGCGATTCCGAGAGAGAAGAGAGTGGATGCCGAGTTCTTGCTATCTTTGGTATCTGAGAACAGATTTATTCTCACATGTTCTTAATATAATTTCTATTAATTCTCCGCTGAATTATGTGATCTTAGTCGTGGTTCGTTCAAGTGAATTTAAGCCATCAGCACTTGTTTTAATGCAACTTAGGGGTGTAACTCCCATTTCTTTTTTGACAAACAGAATTTATTCTATCTGCATGTAAATATTCACGTGTTCTTTATTGTTTCTTTCATTCTTGTTTTTGGGATTTGTGAAATGCTCACTTTCATGACTGACTGGATTTCTGACTTTCTATTAGTATTATTATTCTGTATGTAGCATATTACTCCATTTATGAACAACCTATCCATTTCAAATTGGCATGTCTCATGTTTGTAAATACATGAATATTGTAAAGAATCAAGTCTCCGGAAGGTCACAATTGTAAAAGTATTTGCATTTGTAAATTACTCAAAAATAAAAACTCATCAATTATAAATTGAATGTACTATTTTAATGAATTTGTATTTTTTCCCCCCATTTATTACAAGGTCACGCTTGTGTTTGGAAAAAAATTGTAAGTGTGGTTTTGTTTTGGCAGTTGTATTAAATGTAATTAAAAGTAATAGGAATACATTTATGATTAATTTTATTTTGTTTATCATAATTATTACTGAGCAGGGTAACAAAACCCCAAAATATCTCCATAGCAGAATATTACGATATTGTTTCGGATTATTTTATTCAAACCGTCTTATGTTTAAATTAACATCATAACATCACTAATGTTATAGCACTTGCTAATAATTATTAGTCTCAGGATGTCAGCAGTTGTCACTATTTATTAATTATTATACAATTGTCACTTTTTTAAATCAATGGTGCTACAGAAACATAATATCTTATTATAAATATTTTAAATATGAATATTTAATTAATTAAAATGTTCATGCTATGTTAAAGACTCCATATTTACAAACTGTATTATTATTATGTTCATCATCATTTTTTCCCCAAATAATAGCAATTGTAGAATAACCTTTCATTCCCTGTTATCAGCGTTTACTGCCTTCAATGTCTCTCAGTGGATTTATAAAGTTTGCTCCCTGACGCTAGATGGCACTCAAGCCTATCATCGGCATGAATTTGAACCTGCACTCAAAGCAAAAGAGAAACCTCGTTTTATTTATTTTAATTTTTTTTCATGCTTCTTTATTTACAATGAGTGAGTAGAACTATATCAACGTTTAAAGGGAAGTAAAACACACATCAACTTCATTGTTGTGGTAAGTTTTCAGTCCAGCAGCTCTAGCCAGAACTCGACGTATCTAACCAGTGGCTGTTGGTAAAGAACTTAAACATGTAACTTAAAGTTAAACACACCTTAGTTTGCTCCATTTAACTTAATTCATTAGTAATTTACTTAAACATGATCATTATAGATTATACAGGGGGAATGTAGCTAGTTGTCAAATTGGAACGGTGTCACCATACTTCTGTAAATATATATGATTTTAAATAAAGAGCACAGCTGAATCATGAAGGTAGATTTTAACAGGCTTGACAGGTTTCAGGACAGTATTTCTTTGTAAATTTTGTGTTGTCTCGGGGTTGGTTATATTGTAATATTGACCAAAACGGTGTTGTTGTTGTTGTTTTTTTTGCTGTTTCATGAATTTGCGTTTGACTGTTATGCTGTAACACATTTACAGATAATTTGTGGAAGATGACTGTTCAATTTAGCATATTAGGCTATTTATATATTTCAATATTCGTGTATTCTTCTCAAGTCGCTACCCCATATTGTGTGACAACATGTCCCATCGTGTGTTAAATTACCTGAATATTTCTCCTGGACAGTAACGCTGGAAATGTTCAATAGCTTTTTGTAGTCAAGATAAAATGTGTCCATACAGACAATAATTCCAGTCAAGTCCCTGCTCAAATCACAAAGGAATCTGAAGAACAAAATCGTGTGGATGAAGGTATGGCAAAAGTATGTCTGTCTTCATTTGAGTAACATTACTTTGAAAAAACGTGCTCTTTTACTTTTCGAATGTGTGTAAAGATTGACCAAAGACTTGCCTTGCACAAATTAGAATATTTAAACATAATGCTTAGAGGTTAGAGCAAAGCAAACTTTATTTTAGTTAGCAAAAGAATTTGCTTAGTTAACTGGAATTTAATGCTTGAATTTTGCACCCAGATGTTTAGCTTCTAAAATTTTTCTTAAAATGGTACTTAAGTAAAATAGAAGTATTACCTATATATTTTTTGTGGTTTGAATTCATTATGTAAGTTTAAAATCAAAGTCAACAAAGTGATTTTGCAGGACGAATAGTGTTGACAGAGAAAACAATGCTGTTGTAATTACAGGGACATTGTAATAATTAGCTTTCAAGTTATACAAATTAGAATATTTAAACATAATGCTTAGAGGTTAGAGCAAAGCAAACTTTATTTTAGTTAGCAAAAGAATTTGCTTAGTTAACTGGAATTTAATGCTTGAATTTTGCACCCAGATTAGTTTAGCTTCTAAAATTTTTCTTAAAATGGTACTTAAGTAAAATAGAAGTATTACCTATATATTTTTTGTGGTTTGAATTCATTATGTAAGTTTAAAATCAAAGTCAACAAAGTGATTTTGCAGGATGAATAGTGTTGACAGAGAAAACAATGCTGTTGTAATTACAGGGACATTGTAATAATTAGCTTTCAAGTACTAAATTTGCTTAAAGGCGGTGCCCAGGCTGTTTTTAACAGTCTTAATCAGAGGCCAGCTGCGGCTCCTTACCCTACTTTAAAATATCACACAACCTCTCATCATAATAATCATAGTTATCTTGACAGTCCTCCCAGGGTGTAAAGTTATCTTCCTCGTTCTCAACGAACGTAGACCAAACATATGCAAAATCCACAGGCCTCATCATGTGTATTTTACACCCCGCCCTAACTAGCGCCTGAAGTCCGGCCTGTATCTCTGCTTCCTCCCACTGGAAGAGACGGGAGCAGTGGATATTAAGGCGCATTGTCTTGCGTGCTCGCAAGATCTCTACGAGCTTAGCAGCGCAGGCTGCGCATGGGCTCGAGGACATGTACCAGGTCACTGTGTAGTGGAGTGACTTGTCATAATAGGCCAGCACCTGTTGAAAGAAGGCCTCTTCAGCATGTGAACCCAAATGCTCATCTTCTAGGTAACCGCGAAGGCCTTCTGTCTCTGCAGCGCCTCCTTGAATGTCTACCTGGTAGCACAGGAAGGTCTTGTTGCGTCCGGAGGAATATTCCACATTTTTAAATTGGAACTTAAAGAAGTTCGGGTTCATTCTGTCTCTGTGGGAAGAAGGAGGACATTTGGAAATAAGACTTTTCACAACCTATTGTGAGAAAGTGTGGCTTAGATTAAAGTAAAAGCTGGAATTTACTAGTCGTCAAAGTTGTGTGGTGTATTCCAGCTTCAAAACAACTGAATGCATTAACATTGGACAAGAAGTGCTTCTGTTTGAGTGGGCACTAATAGGCAGTGACTCAAAAGGACTTAATGCTCTTGTATTGATCACTTTGAGGAACAAATTCTTATAAAATCTCGGGTGAGTTTCTCTAGAGTATTATTTTGTTTGAAAGAAGAACCCATTGAATGGTAAAATTTACAAACTTAAAGTACGGGCTTAAAGTAAATGGCCACCTGAACACCACACCCATATGTGCTGGTTGAACAATTTCAAAACCAGATATTAATAGGGAATTAGTCTGCTCTAACAGCTTCCACATTTCTGGGAGTGTTGTCTGTTAGAATTTGAATCATGGTTGGGTAAGGGTTAGGGTTAGAGATTTGCTCCTAATTAAACATAAGACCAATTCATTCCAATGGTGTTTCAGGTCTGTGTTTGTGCAGGTTAATCAAACCTTATGGACCTTACTTAGTGATGTACCCAGTTGAAAGTCATTGAGCTCTTTGGTTCAGATTTTATGCAACTGTTACTGTGGGTGTAGTTGAAATAGTCAAACTGGTCAATTAGAAGGTGGTGCCTACATACGTTTGGTCATGAAGTGCCTGCTACTTCATGGTTTCGGGATACTACACCAAGGCAGGGACAAGAAAACTCATAAATACATAAATATTATACTGAGTAGCCTACAGAAAAGTCCCAAATTCTAAAAGCACTGGGGTTCAAAGCAATAACCTGGATTGTTCAAATGTATAATGTTCCTACCCAACATGTTGGAATTTCAGATGTAACTTTTGTCAAAGTTGGTCCGACCAACCCAAACACTCTTATCTATAAGTTTTCATTTATTAAAATGCCCTTTTAGTGTCAAAGTCAAACAAGTGGCAAAGTCATCTTAAATTAGGTTGTGGTGTCATGCAATATGCCATGCTGTTATGAATTTTTAAGAGACACTGTCGGAAACAAATTAGCAAAAAAATTACCTTTAGGGATTCAGCAGCTTTTCAGTACCCTTAAAGGGACAAATTTGTGCCTCTACCCCTAAAAGGTGCCTAATAATTTCTTAGAGTGGTAATATGTACCCTTAAGTTACAATTATGAACTGTTTAAGGGGTAAATAAGACACAAAGTTGTCACGTTAAGGCTGTTGAGCCAGTGACAAACTGTTGTATCCCTTTTTTTGTGTGCCACTGTTCTTGCTGAGTGATAGAAATATTACTGTGGATCCAGTTTGTGATGAGAGATAATAAAAGATGTCTGACATACCCTATAATGATCTCGAATGGAGGCAGCTCCATAGGCTCCAGCTCAAACTCCTCATCTTTGACAGGGCCTTTGGCACCTTCTGCTACTTCCCCATTTCCTTGAGGCATCTCCTCATTTTTTTGCTGATTTTCTGGGGTCTTCTCTGGCTTCTTTGTCACCTTTTCACTTTTATCTTTGTTCTTTTCTTTCTCCTTTTCGGGTTTACTCTCTACTTTCTCCACTTTCTTTTCTTTCTTCTTTATCATGCCGACTTTACTGGGGATCTTGCTGTCTTTTCTGTCCGCCATGACTTAGCTGTGCGATGAAATGAGTCTGCTAGCTGTGAGCGTGTGAAGGGTGCTGTTGATTTAGTTTGTGAGTCAGAGAGATGACAGCCTGAATATGTTCCTAAGTCTGAGAGTTAAAGATGAAGATAAAGATAACTCACTGTGACAAACAGGAGCTGGTCAGAGAGGGAGAGAGACTGAAGGGCAGCTGCTCTCTTGTTTCCATGCTAAAAAAAGGCCAAAATATAATGGGGGGGGAATTTTATACGTTCATTGTTTAAACACGTCACCGCCCCGTTTTTTTCAACTGGTGCATCAAGTAGCCATTTTCCTCTTGCTCAATTTCAAATGTGTAATGAGCACTGACACTTAATGGCATATAACCCAGATTTATCAGGTATTTCCCTCCCCTTTTTGATCAGGATATTATTGCTGTTCACACACCAACAACAGGCAGTTTATTAATATCTGTAGTTTGGCAGGGAGTTGAGAATGACTCAGTCCCTTCATATAGTGAATGCCATAGTTCAGTTTAGGCCTTTACTACCCTCAGATCAAGGTGGTCTAAAGGTCAACATGGCACTGGCCAGTCCCTGAAGAATCGAATTTTTGCACTCCCTGACCCATGAGCAAACTGTGTTGTTACCGTTTACAGACACTTAAAGGTGGGGTAAGCGATTTCTGGTAGCCAATGTTGACATTTGAAATCACCAAAACAAACACGCCCCTACCCCAAAAGGGTCTCGCCCCTATTTTGATAGCTCTGCCCCACACGTACGTACGCAACCCAGGCAACGATTAGTTCTGTGAAACAAAGCAAAACCAATGTTACACCATGTCTACACCAGACGCGAGAGGTGCGGCGCGACAAAATACTATGGAACTCATTATAATCAGTGATGCTGTCTACACTATAGATATACAGTATATATACATATCTATGGTCTACACTGGATGCGGCGCGACATGACAAATCCCCGACAGAAAACTGTCGTGTACTACAGACTTTAACTGTTGCGGCACAGACACGGTGTTACTCACCTATCGAGAAGAAACAAGGCAACCTCGGTGTCCGGTCGCAGGCCTTCCGCTCCTTAAGTTCTCTCCCGCGCTGGAAAGCTGATCCACTATTTACACGGGTCCTACTTCTTACTTTATTGCCTTAAGCCTTCTTTTGTTCCGCAGATGTTTTCCTCTTTTGTTTTTTATCCGCCATCTCTATCTTTCTGTCGCTCGGCTCGGATAATGTCTGTCCTGTGCACTGAGCGCTCCCTCCTCCATATCATGAGTAGACACGCCCCTTTCTGCTGATTGGCTACAAGTTTGTTTTGCTAATTTTGATAGCTCTGCCCCACACGTACGTACGCAACCCAGGCAACGATTAGTTCTGTGAAACAAAGCAAAACCAATGTTACACCATGTCTACACCAGACGCGAGTGGTGCGGCGCGACAAAATACTATGGAACTCATTATAATCAGTGATGCTGTCTACACTATAGATATACAGTATATATACATATCTATGGTCTACACTGGATGCGGCGCGACATGACAAATCCCCGACAGAAAACTGTCGTGTACTACAGACTTTAACTGTTGCGGCACAGACACGGTGTTACTCACCTATCGAGAAGAAACAAGGCAACCTCGGTGTCCGGTCGCAGGCCTTCCGCTCCTTAAGTTCTCTCCCGCGCTGGAAAGCTGATCCACTATTTACACGGGTCCTACTTCTTACTTTATTGCCTTAAGCCTTCTTTTGTTCCGCAGATGTTTTCCTCTTTTGTTTTTTATCCGCCATCTCTATCTTTCTGTCGCTCGGCTCGGATAATGTCTGTCCTGTGCACTGAGCGCTCCCTCCTCCATATCATGAGTAGACACGCCCCTTTCTGCTGATTGGCTACAAGTTTGTTTTGCTAGTCGGCCCGAATCAATACCCCACCTTTAAGATGTTGTGATGGCGGAACTGATCACTCTGAATAAGATAACAATCGCAGATGTGAACTGCGGTGTATTTTAAGGTTAGATTTCTGTACAGAGTGCTGATGCCCCCACTCTACCCATTCGAGTCATTAGTACTGTGTTACTATACTAATTCCCTGCCAGATTTTTTTTTACACATTCTTGAATCTCTGCCAGCTGGGAAACCAGGGAAAGTCCAAAAGTTTTGTCAATTTTCAGGATACTAGCTTACTGGGTGGTATACACTGTGTATTGCGTACTATTTATAAAAATAGTGTGGTGAAATAGGTGTTATTCCATCATAAAAAATTCTGTATTTATTGCCTCAAGTAGGCATGTTTAACTCTGCAGATATGTTGAGTTATCATATTTTGGTTAATCCATCACAATAGAAATTTAAGGAAAATATACTGGTAATATATAAAATAATTTATCATTTATACTGCACAAATAATACGAGTAGTAGCAGTCCCATATCTGACAATCTGAGCTGTTTGTTTATTGTCTCAAAATGTAACTGTGTTGAAACTGTATTATCGATCTATCTATCTAAAGTTGGATAATATATCCAACTTTATCCGCATACATGCAGTACACTCATGTAAAGTTAATGAGGAAATTAAATTGCAATAAGAGCCACTGCTATTGCTGTTTCAATATGGTTGGGCCATTCCTGCATGCATGTTGAAAATGAAATGTCTAATGGAAAATTTTTAAATTTGGCAGACGTGGCAAATTACGTGTATAGAAATAGAAAATGCAATTGCCAGTACAATGTTACTGTTACAATGTTACCCAGAATATGATACTGTAGCCCCACTGAGACTGAGTGGGAAACTGAAATCAGGATTCACATCCCACATACACACACACACTCATGAATGTTCATTATATCTGCACTGCAGCAGTGCTGCCCCGCCTTACACATAAATCTGTTTGAAATTGAGTTTATTGATTGAATGTCCTTTTGCTATTTTCTTCTCCACATGATCTAAATACAAGCATGCATAAACTCTGTTGTGATGTACAAGTGTACTGTAAATGTAAATGCACACACTGACATCAGTGATTGTGCTATAAAGACCTTGAAATTGCTTAACCTTTGGCATATTATTGTTTGACCCAGCAGTTATGACAGGACAAAATGTCAGGTTTGATAACAAACACTTTTACTTAAATGGAAATGTCTTTTTCACAACAAAAGGTCATTAATGCACAACAACTCTTCTTAATATCCCACAGGCTTGATTGCTCTCGGTTCAGCCCTGCAAGCGAGAGACTGCAGTACACCATCAGCGTTCTCCGATTCCCCATAGGCCTGAAATTTAATTATTTTCAATTACAGAACCTGCCTGCAGCTTTCTACCCTGTGGGTTTTGTACACAAAGAACCCACACAAAAAGCCTGTCAGCCACATAGTAACTCTAAGTTCTTTCCTTAGATTAATATAAAGCTAACTATTATACACCAAATGTTTAATAACGTTTAATTTAGCTGGAAATGTACTATTCTTTTTCTTAAAGGTGTTCTGAGAAAGCATTTGGCTACAAGAATAGTGCGTTTTCTGGGGTTCTATGTCATGCTGATAGTGAAGGAGATTTATTATGCAAATACTTAACAATTAATCAAGTATAAGTACAGTGTGCACTGCACTTGCATGATCCTGTTGCGTTTTTGGGTGATGAAAGTGAGTTGACAGAACATAATGTATTATAAAAGTATTCAATAAAGGCAACCAGCATCTGATAATGAATCATAATAGGTTAACATTTTATAATAACTTTAATTTCCATTTTAATTAAATTTCATTATATTTTCAAATAGTAGATAGATAGATAGATAGATGAAAATTATTATAAATTGTTACCCATAATAGTTACTTAATTTATCTGATTTAGACCTAGCCTTTGTACCTAACTATTTTTTTTATATATATTTGCTGACAACAGTATTTTGTTTACTTTGGGGTAAATGTACAGTTTATATATATATATATATATATATATATATATATATATATATAT